AGACTGTGCTATGAGTCAGGCACATACATGGCTCTGAATATTCCTTTAAATGAGTTAATTAAGAGAACTGACCCATAGGAAGGCATAGGACATACCAAATACCTGGCTTACTGTATAACCTATCCATGTCAGCCAGTGCTTATTTTAAAATGTATTAATGTTCATCAAGAGAAAGCATTATAGACCTTAGATTGGGAAACATTGGATATCTATAAGGCATCTTACTGTTATGATCAACAAGAAGATATGTGCATCAGTTACATTACCTTACACATACAAGAATAAAGACCTGCTCAATTTTACCCCGGTTAAAACAGGAACCCAAACCTAGGACTTTCACCCACTTAGACCTGGGCATTTTCTATACTAACCTCCCTTCCTTAGAGGCAAGAAAGTTGAGTGCCTAAGAGTGTAGCATTGGATTTATACTGACTGAAAGCCATGTTTCCACTACTTAACAAGGTGAGGAAATCATTTAGCCTCTGTGCCTTCATTTCCTCATTTGCCAAGTGAGGGTAAGAAGAGCAGCTGCAAGGAGGCCTCAATAAGGTCACAACAATGACCTTGAGCAAACGTATCTTTAAAAGTTAGTATCAAGCATTTAGCCACCTCCTCAAATACCATTTCTTTGTTTCTTTTTTTTTCCGAGACCAAAAAACAGGGTTTCTCTGTATTGTTTTGGAGGCTGTCCTCGAACTTGCTCTGTAGACCAGGATGGCCTCGAACTCACAGAGATCCGCCTGCCTCTGCCTCCCGAGTGCTGGGATTAAAGGCGTGTGCCACCAAAGCCCGGCTTCAAATATCATTTCTATGAAGTTTTCTGTGAACATTTCTTGTTTGAGAACCACAGAATAAGGATCATGGTAAGCTAATGGAAAGCACTTTATACAAATGTTCCTCTATTACACGATCTTAACGAGGGGTGTGTGGTATGTGTGTGTGTGTGTGTGTGTGTGTGTCCGTCTTTGATCCCCTCCACCTTACATATTGAGGAATATTGCTCCCTGAACCTGGAGCTCTCTGATCGAGCTGTCCTAGCTAGCCAGCCTTTAAAAAGTAGGAAGTGTTTGCAAATATCCTACTTAAAACTAATATACTAGATTCCTGAACTGGAGAGTGGCACCTGCAACTAGCTCAAAGAAGCAAACTGCCACATGTCACTCCTTTATGCATAAGACCACATAGCAACTGTAGCAGCCACAGGGCTGGAAAGCCACGGGTCTCTAGCCCACCAAGTGTGGGACCCTGAACTGAGTTCTGCCTGGAGCAGACCGCCCCAGTGTGAGCCTGACTAATGAGAGCACAGGCCAATTGTCACTCAAAGGCCCCTAAGATCCTGAAGGAGAGCCTTTAGATCCCTGGCCACACACAAAACATGCTTAGACTCCTGAACCACAGAAACTGTGAGATAATGAGTACAGCTAATCATGTATGTGAGCCAACCATGGCACATACTTTGTCGATGCAAAAGGACGAGTACACCATCCACCATCCTCCCCCACGACAATCATTTCTGAATTCTCCCTCGCCTTAAATACACAGACTCACTGTACTGTGAGAACAGGCTTCATGCAGTTTTACAAACTGAATGCTTTACTTATTCTGCCTTCACTTAAGTGACTAAGTGGAAAAAAGGATTTAGTTTACTTGCTGTATATGTATCTGGCTTCCGAGGTCCCACCACGGAAAGTGAAACAGAGCTACCAGTGTGGGCATGTTTAAAGCTGTGCTCTGGATTAGTCCAGGAGAGGAGGAAACGTGGCCAATTAGATATGTCTAAGCCAAGTGTACCCCTCCCTCTCTAAGCCAATCCCGTGACAGAAATACTCAGAGCACCACTTTACCACCTTCTTTGCAGTGCTGATATTTTTATCTCTTCTAGCTGAGAAATGATTCTTTCAAATTTATCAGAGCAAACTGAAATATCTGTATGACTTTCTCAACTTAGTTTTATCTCCAACTATCTGACCTCTCAGATGAACACTCTATTAATATAGCACAGATGCCATGCATCACAGAACACTAACGTGCAACTCAAGCGCACTCGTTTAAGTGAAAACACCAGCACCCAGAAGGCAGAAGATTAAGGAGATCTAGTTAAGGCTTGGGCTACACAGTGGGACCCTATTTCCAACAAAAAGAAAGGAAGAAGAAAGAGGAGGAGGGGGCAGGAAGGAGGGTGAGGAAGAAGAGGGGGAGACGGTGGAGGAGGAGGAGGAGGAGAACCACCCCCAGCACCCCGGAACCAACACGACATCTAGCAGTTGCTCATCACTTTATTTAAGTGACTAAGTGGTAAGAGGCCCAGATACAGAACAGCCAGCAGTACAAGGTCTGTGTGGAACGCAAGCAACGGAAGTGACGTGCAGGACAGGTAGGGGGTGGCAGGATGAGGGAGGGATCAAGGCCATAGCCAAAAGATGGCGCATTGGTCACAAAAAGAACAACTGCTCCTGCCGTACGTATCTCTCCCCAAAGCCCCTGTCTGAGGACAAACTACACAAAGAGGGGTCAGGCTGTTGCGTCACCTCACCAAGCTGTGACATTAAACACTTCTGTGGGCGTTATGTGCCTTGTTCCTCGCACAAAAGGTAGATGGCCTTTTCAACTCCGAACCAAGGATGCAAGCAAGACCCAAGCTCCACTGCTCAAGAGAACAGGCTTACAAAGAGCCCCCTCCAGATGCTAGCCGCCATTCTTACAGAGAAAGAAAGCAGTGCGCCTCTATTCTTTGAGAAGCAGGCAATTATCTGTGTGAGGGGAGGGGCAGCTTCTATGAACAATAGTTAGGTTACAAAACTGCTATGCACCAGAAATATACCCTTCCTCCACTTGGCAGGCGGGAAGAAAACAGTGTGACTTACAACCTATAAACTAAGGTTGGCATTTATTGACCCCAATGGAAGGACCTAGAGAGAGGGTGAACTTGATCCTAAACTTCTGTTTCCCCCAAACACATATAACTCCACCTTCCGTTTCAGTCTCTTCTGATCATATCTCAAACCAAGGTTTAGCAAATTTGAAGAAAGTAAGAGGGAACGCCATTAGCCACCTCATCTCCTGTGATGCCAAGGTCCCCTGTCTGACATAGAAAACCCTAGGAAGGTGGGTCTAATGCATCCCTGCACCAGCTGGGCCTCCACCAGTGGTTTATAATTTACTCAGGAAAAACATGTAGTCCAGCATTGTCAAGACTCCTGAGAGGCATGCTGCAAACTGTCCTTGCTGGCAGCTCCACACGCCCAGGGGTTATGCGGCAACACCGTGATCCCTTGTGAAATGGAGCTGCCCTCCCAAACTCAGTCAGCTTGCTTGTCCCTTAGGAAAAGCAGTGAGACACACCAGAGGACAAGGGTTGAAAAACCAAATACAGCGTTAGGTAGAAACCAAAGTCAGAGGCCTATGGAGCAATTTTCTGTACACAAGAAAATTTATGATCTTAAATGTTTGAAACTGCTGAATACAAATTATAAAGTGTGCCAGTGTGAAGTTTTCCTAATGATTGCAACAATGGTGAACAAGTCTCACACTAAAGGCTCTTGTTACAACAGGGTCAGGCTAGCCCAGTTTTCTTCTACAGGCAAAGCACTATTGACAGCAAGGACAAAATGAAAGACTCCAGAGGCTTAAGAAACTCAAATACTAACACCTAGACTGTTAGGACTTTGACCGATGAGAAAAACTGTCAGACTATGACAAACAGGACTCGGAGCTATGTGTTGTTGTTTTAGATGCAGGGATTGGCTTCTAATTATTTAATTTAATCATTTACTTAGCCCAGTGTTGAGAATCGAACGCAAGGCCTTACACTACTGAGTTAGACCCACAGGCTTCAGTCAGATTTTCAAGTGTTACAGCCAGGGGCACCAAACTGCCCTGTAGAAGAAAACTAGGTAAGTTATTAATTGAATCATTTCCCTGCAGGCAGAGTCCCAGGGAAACAGCAGATGTGTTCAAAGTTTCACAATGAGTAAGGTCAACTGGGAGGTCCAGGAGTGACACTTCCTCCAGGCACCGTTAGGTCCTTGCCACGCCATGCTGTCTGATGGGACAGAGACTTGAGTAAGTCACATGGGGCAGATGTGCAACCTGGCTCCTTCCCTGTGCCTCTTTATTCCAGACTCCGCGGTTCCTTCTGAGACAAGCAGCTTCCCTAGCACCCCGCCCATCCCTCCATGCTGCCCTCAGAGGCGCTCCAGTGGTCACAGGCAAGGCATGGCTCTGTGGCTTCGGCACTTCCTCTTTTGCAGCTGCCTCTGGAGGCGGCAGGGTTTCTTAAGCGGACCTCATGATCAGAAGAGCATTAGCAGCCGTGAAGCACATCACGCACGAACTGAAGGCTTTCTGCTAATGAGCACACGCGCGTGCACAAGAGCAGTTCTTCCACATCGTGTGACCCATCCTCTAATTTCCTCTCCACATGAGTATGTCAGGCTCTGCATCCTCACACTGCTCACTGCTTTGTCAGGATGGGGTGGCGTGTGCACCTACCTGTGCTCTGGCAGCCCCTGGCACTCAGAAAGGAGGGTCCACAACTCCAACACCTTTCTAACAGCCATCAGTAATGTGGGGACAGTTTATGAACCTGATTTCCCCACAGGGACACTGGGCTAGTGTTTTAAAGATAGGATTTCTCTTTCTTTCCAAATGTTGTTGTTATTGTTGTTGGAAGGCAGGCAGGCTCTCTCCCTCTGTGCTTCTATTTAGAATACTCAGAGTCTTGGCCGCTAACTGCCAAATGATAAAACCACCCCATGAAATGAGCAGGCTGTTACCATGTTTAAATGATAAAACCACCCCATGAAATGAGCAGGCTGTTACCATGTTTAAAGAGTCACTGCAGCATGATTATTCTCTCAACTGTAACATATTCCCCCAAGTTACCACATGTGCTTACCACTATTGTCAGGAAAAAGTTAAATCAAAAAACTATCTTACTCCATTTTGGCATCAAAATTCTTAACTATTCTTTTACGGCTGTGCATAACAAGACGGTTTACCTTCCAGCATTTTCTGAAGGCTGTTCCTCATGACATGGATGTTCTCTATCCCGATAAACTGAAACTTGATATTGGAGTAATTGTCTTCGTCCTCATAACCTTTCCCTGCAGCGCGGTTTGCCATTGCATTAAGCTGCAGTGGTCAGCAAAACAAAATAGACATCAATTACATTCAGGACATGGAACAACTTACAACAACACTGTAGAGATGTGCGGACACACAACGCGGTTTACACCCTGGGACACCGTACTGAGGCTCTTGCAGCTATACGCACAAAGGCTGAGCTATGGTCAACAGCCCTCCTGTGCAGGGCTGGGTAGCGTTTTCTTAGCTGGGAAGTGTTCCGTAAGTCCTCCTGGAGATGCCCTGTCAGTTTTGACACCAGTGCTGAGCCGATATGGAAGTCCGTGGCAGAACCAATTTCACACCACACATCAGAACTTGCCGACTGGCAGGAGAACACCCACAGAGGCATCTATCAATATAAGGCTCTGTAAGTTAAATTATCTGGCAGAACCATAACACCAACAGACACGACATCGGATAGGAATGTTCCTTCTAGTTTGCCCAGCTGAACCTCTGGCAGGAATCTGACAGACTGAACGGAGAGAGAATGCTGACAGTCAGGCTTCAGGAACGCTTCTTCACTTGCCTTCTTCAAATCGTGACGCCACTTTCAGAGCCATAATTTTGTAGATAAGACACTGGAATTCCAGTGATTAAGGCCAAACTGCTGTAACCCTATGCAGTGTAATCACGCCGAGAAGTCCTGCCCTAGGTGGGAAACAGGTTTCTCACGGGGACATGGGGCTGGGAATGCTGCCCTCTTGCAGCTTGCCTGAGCAGGCTGTCACTTATGGAGAACAGTGTTCACTGACCATTCTCTAGGCCACAAAGGTTAGGGAACTTCCCAGACAGGGGTGGGGGTGGGGGTGGAGATGGGGGTGGGGATGGGGTGGGAATGAGGAGGGGATAGGGATGGGGATGGGGGTGGGGGTAGGGAAGGGGTGATCTGCTTTTAAGAGTAGAGTACAAAGGAGTACTTCCGATATTTAAGTGTAAAAAGCTAAGTTAAGGGGCTGGAGAGATGGCTCAGAGGTTAAGAGCACTGGCCGCTTGCTCTTCCAGAGGTTCAATTCCCAGCAACCACATGGTGGCTCACAACCATCCCTAATGAGATCTGGTGCCCTCTCCTGGCCTGCAGGACACTGTATACATAATAAAGAAACAAATCTTAAAAAAAGAAATTTAAAAAACTAAGTTAGAAATATTTTGGCCCTTAAAACCTTATAAGATTAAGGGTCCCATCACATGTAGATCAAGAATGTCTGTCATGTTTTTATAAACATGAAAGCTACAAGCCTATGAGTATCTCATCACAGTAGTAACTGGATAAACCATGGCCTATCCATGACCTGGAATAAAACCAGGCACCAAAAGACACAGACCCCAACCTATCTTTCCCCTTTCTCTGCCTTACAGCACACATCTACATGTACATGTGTGTAAGCTGAAGAGTGTTCATGCAATCACCCACTGTTAATACACTCACTGACATATTTATTTATTCACATTCATTGAGAAGCACTAAGATCATTGAAGATTATGCCCACTTGGTATCAGTTTCAGCAGAAAAGGAGATGTCAAGTTGAGGGGGTCACCACCAACACGACTTCAGGTACTCTTGCAGTCCCAAGAAGCATATATAAAGCCCGGGTCATAAGTCATAGAAATGAGGCAATCATCAAGGAAACGATACAGCTGAGGGCAAGCCCCTGCCACAGGGCCCCTGCTTCAAGAGCAAGTCAGGTGTCCACTCCCCAGCTCCGCTCCTCTGCCATCTGTGTGGCCTGTCAGCTCTTCAGAAGACTGACCCCAGGCGACAGAAGCAGGCCATCAGTCCTAAGAGCACAGGCGTTAGCCTTAACCAAGAAAATCTTTAATAAAATACCTTAAGGGTTACTGAAGGTTCATCCTTTAATAGGTCCTAATATCTACTGGACATTTTGTCTTCCAGAAATTACATACAGATGTTGCCCTCGTGGAACAATGTACTGTAAAAATCACTGATTTTATATAATGATTTCCAGGGCTGTTGGCTAAGCCTTTATAAGGAATTTCGTGAAAATCAATAAGTTAACAGGATCCACACAAAACGTTTTATGTTACATGAGCTATACACTTATTCTGCATCAGAATTCAAGGCAAGCTTCTCACCACATAGCACATCCTCTTCTAAAAACCTGTAATATGTAGCAAGCAAAATACTGTTGCTACTACAGTTATTACAGATACAACATATGCTCACACTTTAAAATAAGAAGCTACCATGGGAGAACTCACTGGCAGTTTTCCTTACAAGCACCCAGGAGAAAGCTTCTCAAAAGTCAATGTGTACTTCACATAGTAGTCAGAAGGTGGCAATGTTTAATCTATCATACAAACATTTTTTTTTTCAGGAGCACTATTTATTTTCTGTGGCAAAAGCTGAACTCTCAAAGCACAAACACAGTTTTAGGAATAATAAAACATCCAAAAAGATACTCCGACTGAGATAGACAGATGATGGATGGATCCATGCAGGCATGCATGAATGGGACAGACAGAGTATGCTTTACATCAACAAATCACTACTAGCAGTGGCTCCTCTGGCTGAGAACTACATTTCATAATTAAGTAAAAAGCTACTAATTTCACATCCTAATAATTCCCAAGCAGGTAAAGCCATAGGGGCAAATGCATCCCAGTTTCCAGATCTGCTTGAGAAGTCAGGGTGTTCGAATGGGAAAACCCTTTGCTATCTAGCATCAGCATTTCTGCTGCAGAAATGCCCACAGAAGAAACAGAAGGATGCACATGGCGCTGTTCTTGCTGCCTTAAACATATAACTGAATATGGAAGGGAACGCACACAGTGCCAAACGATAGCAGATAATTCCCACCAGGCCTGAGGAGGGCCAAGTGGATCGCAGGACTGGCAAGAGCTGGAACCTGGGGCAACCCTGCCAGGTGAAAAGTTTCCTGGGGTTTAGTGGGGAGGGTGGAGAGGCTGTTCTGGAGGAAGCAGTAAGGGAGAAGAAGCCCAAGAGAAGCTCAAAGCTTTTAGAGTCCTCTACAGAGGCCTTCGTTAAGGAATCTAAACTCTGTGGCGGAGAACAATTGCTGAGTCATTCTGAGTATCTCTAATGGAAAAAATAGGAATTCATTTAGACTTGACGATGGAGGGTCCACCATATGGGAGCAACGCGGCAGGCGGTGGGTATTTAAAAGCAGCAGTGAGCCCGGGCCTGGTGGCACAGGCCGGTAATCCCAGCTACAGTGCAGGCTGAGTCAGGACAACAGTGCATGTTCAGGGACAGCTCTGTCAACTTAGTAAGACCCAGTCCCCAGACAGAAAGTAAACAGAGACTGAGGCAGCTCAGTGGCAAAGCCCTTGAGGTCCTGGGTTCAATCCCCAGAACTGAAAAAGAAAAGAAAAGTCAGCAGTGAAGAAGTGGAGAGTGTACGTGCTGCCCAGGAGCTTCAATAGGCAGAGACCATGTCTACACCTCCCTCACCAATGACTGGCTGACCAACTGGACACATGACCACATACAAGAATGAGGTAAGAGGTGATCAAGCCAAAACTACAGAGAAACAGAATCAGGCTCTGGTCCACCCCATGAATCACACCCATGACTCCCCAGACAGTGTTGGTCTTGAGACCAAGCTGAAGGAAGTCCTGGTCCCTATGCTAGCCATGGAGTCTAGGACCGCACCAGTTACATTTGATGTCTGAATCACAAGGTCTGCTCAGACAGGGTTGAACAGGAAACCACAGCAAAGCTGATTTTAGCAGGAAAACTGGGTCATAGCCTCACACGGGTTGTGAAAGGATGGTCCTTTCTTCTTATCTTGCTATGACCTACTAACTTCAACCATGGCATATTCATGGAAATACTAGATGATTTTATTGCCTAGAGGTACTATCTACAAATGAGCTTGTCAGATTTTTCCCCTCACCATCTAAAGAAGTTTTGTGCATATTTATATGTATATTATATTCAAGTAGGAATTTTTTTTTCTTTTCTGAGACAGGGTTTCTCTGTAGCTTTGGAGCCTGTCTTGGAACTTGCTTTGTAGACCAGGCTGGCCTGTAACTCACAGAGATCTGCCTGCCTCTGTCTCCCTAGTGCTGGAATGAAAGGTGTGTGCCACCACTTCCTGGCTTCAAGTAGGAATCTTGATTTAAGTTAATTTATGTTTTCAAACCACATACGATGCAAAATGGTCTCTTTCCCTATCTATAGGCTATGTGGTCTGACAAATGGTTTTCTCCAGGACTCTCCCCCGTCCTGTGCATTCTTGAGCCCTCTTTTCTGTGTAGTTGGCAGAACAGATCACATGGAAGGAATGCAGTTAGATAAATAGCTCTTTGCAAAGCAATTGCAATTGTCTTTTTGGTTAACAGTGCTTCTCTGATTATTACTAATTTCTGTCTCTGCCTTCTATTAGCATAGGTATCCAAAGGGTAACTTTCTGAAGGTACACATGTAGGCTCCTAGGGTAGGAAGTGCCCATGTCACTCACATGGGAGATCCACTATGGCAAGAGCCTATTCCAGCAGCCTTACCAGCATACTTGCCCATAGCCTCTCACTGGAGACCTTCAGTGTAGATAAGCTGTCTTAGCAAGGTTCATCAAGTATGTTCAGGTCCAAACTAAGCCAGAGGATATTTCTCCATCCTTGTACTGACAAGGAACAGCAGGGAAAACTATGCCCCCCCACCTGCCACAAAACACACTGTCTCTCTCCAATTGTCCAGTTGTCAATGGTCACCTGCAAGGCTGATGCATATATGCAGGAAATAAGACCCCACCTGTTAGACACCCCTAATCTTCACAGCTGAGTCTTGAAGATGCCACCTGCATGGAACCCAATGAACAGACACTACCTCATCACCAGAGAAAGAGAAATGCCCATGACCCTGTGTTACACAATAACCACTGATGCAGTGACATTAAGGCCATAACCACAAAGCGATCTTTGGAGCTGGAGTGTACCACAGGGCTAATCTCAACCTTGCCCCTGCCTTCAGGACTCACCCTTCCTCCATCACTGCTAGGTAGACCGTGCACAACTCAGAGCCCTCCCTGCTCCTTTGGCCTTGAAATGATGTTGGCTGAGTGCAGGCTGGCTCTTCAGCTGTCTTTGGATCCACTGGGTGTGCGATCAACTCAGATGGCAACCCTCTGTAGTCCTGAAGTGGAGACAGGGCTCCCAGATGTTTTTGGCAAACAGGAAAAACACAGGCTTTGGAGTCAAGTAAGCCTGTGCTTGACTGAATGTGGCCTCCGCCCTACACTGTGTGACCTCAGTGAATTACTTGACCTCTTTAAAGCTAAGCCTTTACCCAGGAAAAGACAAGAAGTCTGCTAATCTGAAGGACTCTTTTAAGAATTAAATGAGAAAGTACTTAACATTTTTGCAAGCTCATCAAAATCTGGTAAATTTTGAAATCAGAACATCTGATACAGCCATGGGCAGGTTAAGACATGACGAAACACTCCTTGTTTTAGACCTTAACAAATACTGTTCCAACACATTTTCATAGCTTTCAATGCACCAATGTCTAGAGAGTAGCAGGTGATCCCCCATCTTCAGGATGTCATGGCCTCGACTGCCTCCTAAGCCCTTCTCTGTATAACTATACTAGGGAGTAAATCCGGGTGCATGGGAAGGGCTGAGAAAAACTTCCATCTCACCATGCAAACCTTCCACAGCAAACATACACTTACTTTTCTGCCTACCTAGGATGGCATCCCTAACACACTCTGGGTAGGGGTGGGGAATCAGCCAACATGGTGGTAGTCTTTAAAACAAAACAAACAAACAACACAAAAAAGCAAGCAAGCTTGAAATGAACACTTTAAAAACCATGCGAGTATGCCTGGATAAATATGAGAAGAAGGTACCTAACTTTATTTAATGGGTGAGAGTCAAACTTCTTACTCTTAGAATAAACAAAGTGAGTACTAAATATACCCTTCACATCAAATCCCCAGGATTAATTGGCTTTAAATATGGACCATGCCTGCCCTACAGCTGCCACGTTCTAGGGAAGGCTTACACTACTCCGAGCCAACTTGGAATCACTGGCTCTTCAGTTAGTAGGTCAATCTGTTTATCTTTTAAAGCTGGAAGAGCAGGGTAGGAAAAGGATTTCCAGTCTCCACTCAGTAAAGCCCCGTCTTCCCTTCCCACCCTGAGTCTGTATGCAGACTATCCTCAGAAAGCACAAACTCTCAGAACCTTACACAGAAGATGCAGGGATGAGACGGGAGGGCAGCCAGGTTCAGAAGGAAGGGGGAGGGGAGGTTGAGCCTGACTCGGACAGAAAGGCACAAACTGAAAGGCAACAATAGCAGTTAAAGACTTTTTTACATCTTCCAAGTGCACACCTTCCAGCAGGACAGCATCTTCATGCCTGGGCTGGGGATTTTTGTCTATGTGGTGCAGTGCAAGTTTACTAAAGAGGCAGAGACCCGGGATGTACGATGTGATGAGCTGTGAAGATAATGTCTATAAATACCCAGGACTATGCCACTAAGCGCCTACTCATGATGGTTTTACTTTTAAACTTACTTGAGCTAGTAGTCTGTTTTCTCTTTCCTATGTCATGTTTTCATTCCCTTGTGTTCTTTTTTAAACAGCACTGCAGACATTTAATTCACATGTCATGCAACTTCACCCATCCAGGGAGGCAACATGCAAAACCAAACAGTACCCATTTACTGTGTGACCGGCACAATTTGAAAAATAGGAGAAATAAAAATGTATTTAACAGTCAGCCCCTTCGGGAGCTGAGATGCAGCAGAGAGCAGCCCCCGATGTCCCCATGGCCTGGTCATGCCAAGAACAACCCTTTGTAGATGAAGCAACTAGAGTAAGGAATGGTATCAGTTAAGCTTTGGTTCCCTCCAGCCTTGGGACTCAGAGCTGCAGAGACAAGTATGAAAATGCTGACACTTACTTTAGGCCGTGTGTCCACAACATAGATGAAGTCACTTTCGGGATTGGCTTTCCTGATGGCTTGGAGCATCTGTTCATCCTCCAGACACCGAGCACTGAAGCCAGAAAGTGGCTGGCTGCTCCTGCAGATGGAGGCCTGGAGGAAGAGGCCACAGCAACACAGTGCTATCAGAGAGGCTTTGAAACCATCCCCCGGAAAAGGGGCCTTTGCCTGCACCCCACACCAATGTCAGAAACTGGGGTTAGACTTTGTGGAAATCAAGATATGTCCAAGAACACGCTACATAGGCAAGCTTTCTGCGTAAGATCTTAGGAATGTGTGAAGATGTTTAGACAGGATCCAAATCACTATTTTCTTTTTCACTAATATTGTTTCTTTTCACTGCTGTACATAGAGTAACTACTGTCCTGAAACTTACAAGACACTATCAATGGCAGGACTGGGAAAACATTTTAGTGTTTGGTGTTTTTTCTTAAATCATTTTCATACTAGTCTATTTACAAGGATCATGAGCACCCAAAATCACATCTAAGGGCCACATTTTCCCAGTAATGAAAGCCCATGTCACTGCTAGGTTTGCTCAGTAACAGTGCTCAGAAATAAGAGGTTTCTGCAGACTCCATCTTAGCCTGTCCAGACAGTTCCCTGCCCTGCAATTTCAACATTATACAATCATCTTTCCATGTCATCAGGTCCTGGACTGGTGGGTTTAACCAGCTGTGGCTTTAACCAACTCTGGATCAAAAGTATTCAAATAAAAGTACCAAATTGTATTGAATGCACTTAGACTTTTTATGTCATCTTTCCCTAAATAACCCATCATACCAAGAATTTACCTTGACTGGGTATTTTAAGCAATCCAATGATGACATAAAGTATGCAGAGAAGGGTGTGAGCGGGGTACAAGCAAACACTACCATTTTATGTGAGGAACTAGCATATGCTGAGACATGGTTTCTAGGGGAACTCTGGGACCAGGCCCCACAGACAGCATAGAGAATTTGATACTGCATTGTTAGGTGATGGATAGAATAGTCACGAGTAAGTGAGGCTAGATACACACACAGCTATTAAACTTAGCTTTCCTGACAAACTATTTTTGTGGGTTTAGCAATTAAATTACATATAAACCTCTTGATAAGATGCATGGTGCCTATACCATCTGCACTGATTCTGTAAGTCTGCTGTGTAGAAGGATGGAAGGAGCCATGGTCAGTAGAAAATGGACCACTCTAAATGAGTTGGGAAGGAAGAACTCACTACAGTCCCACAATGCCATCACTTGCTTAGGGTCTTGTGTACAGATCTCCATCAGTGAAATGAAATGACTCCTCTAATTCAAACTCAGCTTTCTTGCCTTCTCAGTCATGCTGGTTAGCGTTTGTCAAGCTGACACAGACGCAGACATATCTGGGAAGAGGGAATCTCAACTGAGAAACTACCTCCAATAAATCATCCTGTGTGCACGTCTATGGGCATTTTCTTGGTGAATGTGGGAGGACCCAGGCCACTGTGGGTGGTGCCATGCCTGGTTCCTCAACTGCACAATAAAGCAGGTTCAACAAGCCATGGGCAACAAGCCAGTGAATAACTTTCCTCCATGACCTGTCTCAGTTCCTGCCTCTAGGTTCCTGCCTTGGCTTTCCCCTGATGAACTAGCAGCGCCTTTAATAGATGCCGGGGTCCTTGGGTGCAGACACCAAAATCTTTTCTTGTTTGTTTTGTTATTGAGGCAGGGTCACATCTGGCTCAGGCTGGCCTTGAACTCAAACTACAATTGAGGATGACCTTGAATTTCTGATCTTTCTGACTGCTAGGATTTCTGGGTATACCACCATACTAAGTTGGTTTATTCAGCACAGGGATTGAACTTAGGGCTTTGTGCTTGCTAGGAAAGTTATCCACCAACTGTAGTATGTAGTCAGGAAGTATGACACACTGCTAGAGCAGCATTTGAGAAAAATCCGATTCGAATCTCAGTTTTGATCTCACTGTAAAATTACATACCTTCTCTCAATCTCAGCTTCCCTGTGTATGAAGGTTGGTAATTATTAAAGTCAAGTGCTGTGCTATAGTGTACCATACTGTAACAGTCCTATAACTATGCCTAACACCTTAGTTATTATGTCAATGAACAGGACTATAAAAAGAAAGCAAGAAAGTCTGTATTGTGTTAAGAAAATTTACCTTTATATAAGTCGCTTATGACTTCTGTTCCCTAGAAATTTATACTGTGAATTTAGGAGTCCATGTTGTACATAATTTAAAGCAAAAATAACTCTTAAAAACCCTAACACAATAACAAAGGATAAAGTGACTCTCAGTAACAAATATACCCAGGATGCTCTTCGCAGGCTTCCCAGAACCTTCCTTTTCAAAGTGGGAGCATGCAGAGTCCCTCCTCACCCACTGCCTGGAGTGGGAATTGATGGCTGGCATCAAAGCCTTCATCCTCTAGAGAGGATGGCTTCATCCACTCAGCTGACCACACTTAGGTACTGTCTGAGTCCACCTTACTTTACTGCCAAATATACATGGAAGGGAAGTTTCTACATGAAACTGCATTGTCTCACACCATCCACAGGATATCCATGTACCACTAAGAATTCAAATAAATATACACAGAGGAGAAGAGAGAGACAAAGACAGACAGACAGACAGACAGACAGACAGACAGACACAGAGAAAGCTAGAAAAATTCCCATCTAGGGTAAAACACAGCGAAGGGTGAAGCTAAGACCAGCTCTGAGGCGTACATGGCTTTCTTTACAGTAGTAAGAGAGGGCGGGGAATCGCCGTCGGCTCCGGAACTTGGAACTGCCCACGATGATGTGTGCTGTGGCTGATTTGGGGACATAGAGTTCCGTGGGGTAAGAGTCACAAACCTGTCACCAGAAAATACAAAGGGTATGTTGAGGCAATCAGGCATTACATTGCAAATTGACACCAGAAATCCCATTTCAACATGCTTGAAGGTTGCAGATCTTAGCTTTCCTAATCAAGTTACAAAGGAGGCTGTTTCGAGGAAACTTGAAGCTACTCGGAGAAAGGAAGTACTGCTGATTCTGTGACTTAACAAGCAAAGCAACCGTGAACAGACTGTCACTGTGTATTGTCCCTGCTCTCCGGAGCTCTTTATGTGGGGAAGACAGCAACAATTGAGCATTCCTTTCATCAAAAAGGTACAAACAGTAACTGTGCATCCTAACGGCCAAAGAAACATTAGTCCCCTGTATTTGCCTGGCAGCCTGTGTGGAGACAATTTCCTAAAATGTAGTCACAACACTAATATCCTCAGGGTACCTGTGTGTCCCTGGCACACTGTGCACTTCTTCAGACTTCTCTGAACACGCCTGAGCCTGGTCTTCTCAAGTTTCTTCCATGTTTCCCCAGTTTACCCAGTCCCAATTTCTCCAGGAAGTCTCCTCCTGGGTCCTCTCCTAGGAAGATTTCTAGATAGGATTTCATGCCGTGCCACTCCCATGACCACACAATGTACCAGCGTGTTCCAAGTGTGTTGATTTTGTAAGTGGTGAGAAAGAATTGCTCCCCTGGCAGGACCGGGTGCCTTGAGAAGATCTTAGGACTGAGAATCAGAAATCAGCTGCCTAGGACACAGCCTGGCATTTGTGACTTTGCAACCTTGAAGAGCCAAACTACACCAGATGCTTTAGTTTTCTGATCTCCAAAACCGATAGTTTAGTAATGATATTTTAGGGGTGGATAGAAGGAAACGATCAGACAACACCCATGACAGAGCACTTTATAAACCACCAGAGCCAAAAGAAATGCCAGCACTTGGCAATGGTGACCGCTGCTGGCTGTCAGTGTTGGGTTTTCCCATCAGTCAGTCCATCAGATGGCAGTTCCCTGGGCTTCATCATCAACTGTTTATTTCCTGGAAGGCAAGCATCTTTGGAGTCATAGCAACAGGATCTGCATGGGTGTAGCAATAGGGATAATATTTATCTATGGATCCTTTGGCCAACTCCACCCACCCTTACCACACCACAAGTTGCCACTAAAGGGAATGAAAAACCACAAGAGAGCTCTCAGCCTCCCGACTATTTGCAAATGGTTTTGTTAAGAGCCCTCAGTCCCTGCCCGGCAGCAATGTTTCCCTTAGACAGCTAAAAATCATGGAGCAAGAGATAAAAGGCCATAAAAGGAATGATCATAGGTCCAAAGCATAACTTCAATCTCCTGGATGCTTGGGTACTCTCATAGAAAACCCTGTTCCAGGAGAGGAGGATCCAGCCTACTTGGATCCAGACAACTAGAATGAGGCCACAGAACATTGCCCTTCCTTCCTGATTCTGAACCTGTCTCAAGCAAGCCAGCTACTAGAATATCAACACACACCACCCCTGCTGGCCCAAGGCTCAGTGCACCAGACGGTCATTTGCTGAAAATGATCAGTTTTAAAAGGAAGTAAGGTTTTCCATAAATTTAGGAAATTTGGGATTACCTATACTCTTCCTTATGACAACAACACAAGAAACTGAAAGGTTTTATGACTAAGTGCAATAGCAATCTGTACTAGGGAAGATTTACAAAACACTGCACACAGTTTCTGAATATCAAAGGGAAAATGAAGGACTCTGGAGCTCCTGAAGCTCTCCCAAGGCCAGAAAATGTCTAGTGTGGTTCAGGCCACACCACTATGTACCCCATGGCTGAAATGAAACCAGGGAAGGAGAAATACCTAGAGCGCAGCATCTTTCTCACTCACAGCTCAACTCCGATGCTGTAGTGCTGTCTCAGCACACACGGCCCTCTCCTCATTCACTACTGTGCAGACAGTCATTACCTTCTAGAACACCAGAGTTGTCACTCTCCAGTGGAGAATGTGAACCTTCACAACTCAGTCAATGCAAAGGCCAAAGCTCCCCTACCAAGGCCCAGTCAACAATGTCCAGGCTTGTAAACTAGCTCGTACAACCTCCTCACTTGAATGGAACTCTATTAAAGGAATCCTGCTTCTTCAGGGCACTGAGCCCCAGCCAATGACCCAAGTATATGGCATTCTGTTGCATCTTCCAGTAGGCTCTCTAAGGAGCTAAAGCTCCTGCTGTATCAATTGATGATGATGATGATGATGACAACACCCTCAGGTTTACACTCATTTAACTTGAGTTCTAAAAACAGTATTTTATGGAACTGAAAGAATGAAACTTATCCTCCTTTCAAGGTAGGTAACTCTCTCAAGTGAAAACTGAGAGTCCAACCATGGGAGGCACAAATACTTCTGAAGAAACTGAAGATGCAGATGGAATGATACTTGAATTCCTATATTAGAAGGCCCAATGTGGCTACAATGTTCCCACCCAAATGTAACCAACAGACTCAAGGCAATCCTATCAAAGTCTCAATGGCCATTTTACACTAAAGCTAATATGAATTCTCCATATATCAAAACATTTTTTAAAAGAACGAAGTTGGGGATTCATACTTTATAATTTAATGGCTGGTTACACAACCACATGTATCCAAAGAGACAAACCAATAGAATGGAGAGTTCATAAATAATCTTCATATATACATTTGAGTAATCCTAATAAAGGAACTAAACTATTCTTTGAAAAGGATGGTTTCTTACCTAGTTACCAGGAAAACTAGAACTCTACACCCAAAGGAAAAAGGTGAACACTTATATCTTACACAAAAATTAACTCAGTATGGATTGAAGGTGTAAAATGTAGGCTGCAAAATTCCCATAAAAATATGATGAAACATTTCATATTAAATCTGGCTTTCATTTCTTATGTACAATGTTAAAAGTGCTAGCACTGGAAGAAAAAAATGAGACTATATTGAACAATAATTTTTATGCATCCAAGAAGCAACCAAAAGAATAAAGGCAACCAAAGAAATCATGGGTTTGTCCAGAGTATATATAAAGAACTTCACGTCAACGAAATCAAATGCACTGACTAAAAACAGGCAAGAGACTTGACTATCCCCAAAGACGTCCACAGACAGCCAGGACACAAGCAAAAGGTTCAGCAGCTCTAACTGCCAGGCTGGCCACCATTAGGACAAAGCTGAAAGCAAGTGTTGGCAACGTTGCAGAGTCTTGTGCATGTTGGTGAGATGTGAAGCAACGAAAGCACAATGGAAAACACTAGGAAAGTCCTTTGAGACTTTAAAAAAGTAATCACTGCGTGATCCAGAGTCACAAAGAGGTATTCACGCAGCCCTCTAGAAACAGCACTGTTCCTGATGGCCAAGAAACAAACACAACTCCCTAATGATCCGCTAACAGATGACAAAATGTTTTCTATTCACATCACACTACAGTTTACCCTTACAATGGAAGTAAATCCTGCCATGTACTCCATATAAACAGATAACACCGCATGCGTCTATTTATATGCAGCATCTAAAGGAGGCTAATTCATTAAAACAGGAAGTAGAATGCTAAACACCAGGCTGAGCAGAGAGTAGGAACAATTACTGTTTAAGGGGCACAAAGTTTCAGCTTTGCAAGATGAGCTCTGGAGTTCAATTGCACGGCAATGTGGCATACTAAACTCAACGAAGCACACACTTAAAAATGATGAAGATGCCATATTTGGGCCTGTGTTTTTATCCAAAGAAAAATACTGTCAGACTTAGAAATCTCACTCCTGTCACTTTTATAACTAATTCACAGAGCTGTAATCAAAATCCTGGTACTGAAGAATGCGTCACACAATATAATTTATGCAGCTACATTTTAAAATTCCCCAGGAAGTGCCTGGGGATTTTTGTCTGGATGTGAAAATCAAGAGGGAAAATTTGGAGAGAATGGAAGTGAAAATGCCTTCCTGCTGCTTTTTATCTCTGATTTGGCTTCGTTAATGAAAGTAATTTGAGCTATCATTTATGAACAAGAAAACATTGCTACTATTTTTTCTGTCTTCACTATATAAGTTAGCCTGCATTTCTCACTAAACTGGTAGAGAGGACCTGGATGCAGAACAAAGCAGCCAGCATCATTGGCCATCATTCCAGTCTTGTCCCTCCACCCTCCGGTAGAGAGATGAGGGGATGGAAAGAGAGAGACAGACAGAGAGAGAGAGAGACAGAGACAGAGACAGAGAGACAGACAGACAGAGAGACAGAGAGAGATACAGAGAGAGACAGAGAGAGAGAGAGAGAGGGAGAGAGACAGAGAGAGACAGAGACAGAGAGAGAGAGAAACCTGGAGGCAGAACAAAACATCCAACATTGGCTGCCAATCCTGTCTTGCCCCTGCACCATCCAGGAGAGAGGAGAGGAGACAGCCTTGAACCCATACCCACCAGGAGAGGGAGAAAACCCACCTATACCCACTGGAAGAAGAAATGGGAAGATGCCAGTATAAGAACACACCCAATAACAGAAAGGCTTATATGACACCACCAGAATCTAGGGAGTCTACACCAGCAAGACTTGAACATTCTATGCAGATGAAACAGAAGAGAATGACCTTCAAAACCCATACAGGTATGAACGCCTGATCTTTGACAAAGAAGCTAAAATTATGCAATGGAAAAAAGAAAACATCTTCAACAAATGGTGCTGGCATAACTGAATGCTGGCATACAGAAGAATGCAGATAGATCCATGTCTATCACCATGCACAAAACTTAAGTCCAAATGGATCAAAGACCTCAACATAAATCCAGCCACACTGAACCTGACAGAAGAGAAAGTAGGAGGTACCCTTGAATGAACTGGTACAGGAGACAGCTTCCTGAACATAACAATAGTAGCACAGACACTGAGATCAACAATCAATAAATGGGACCTCCTGAAACTGAGAAGCTTCTGTAAGGCAAAGGACACACTCAACAAGACAGCCCACAGAATGGGAAAAGATATTCACCAACCCCATATCTGACAGAGGGCTGATTTCTAAAATATAGAAAGAACTCAAGAAGGTAGTCACCAAAACATCAAATAATCCAATTAAGAAGTGGGGTACAGAGACTTCTCAGTAGAGGAATCTAAAATGGCTGAAAGATACTTAAGAAAGTGTTCAACATCCTTTAGTCATCTGGGAAATGCAAATCAAAACAACCCTGAGACACCATCTTACTCCTGTCAGAATGGCTAAAATCAAAAACACCAATAACAGTTTATGCCAGAGAGAATGTGGAGAAAGGGGAACACTCCTGCACTGCTGACGGGAGTGCCATTAGTACAGCCACTTTGGAAATCACTATGGAGATTCCTCAGGAAAATGCGAATCGGTCTACCTCAAGATCCAGCAATTCCATGGTACATTTACACAATGGTGTACTACTCAATGGAGAAAGACCAATGGAATCTTGAAATTCACAGGCAAATGGGATGGAACTAGAAAAAACCATCCTGAGCTAGGTAATCTAGTCACAAAAAGACAAACATTGTATGTACTCACTCATATATGAATTTTAGACATAGAAGGATTACCAGCCTACAATCCACACTGCCAGAGAAGCTATGAAACAAGGAGGACCCTAAGAGAGACATCATAGTCCCAGGAGAAGGGGAAAGGAACAAGATCTCCTGAGCTGATTGAGAGCATGGGGGGAGGGGAGAGGGAGCTCGGAGAAAGAGAATAGGAGAAGAGGAGGGGAGAGGAGCACATGATGGAGCAAGAAGGTTAAGTCGGGAGAAAAATAGAGGAGAGCAAGATAAGAGATACCATAATAGAAGGAGTCATTATAGGTCTAAAGAGAAATCTGGTATTAGCGACATGTCCAGAGATCTACAAGGATGGCACCAACTAACAATCTAATCAATAGTGGAGAGGCTACCTTAAACTCCCTTCCCCTATAATGAGATTGATGACTGCTTTATATGCCATCCTAGAGCCTTCATCCAGTAGCTGATGGAAGCAGCAGCAGACACCCACAACTAAACACTAAGTTGAACTCCTGGAATCCAATTGCAGAGAGGGAGGAGTGATGAACAAAGAGGTAAAGACCAGGCTGGAGAAACCCACAGAAACAGCTGACCTGAACAAGGAGGAGTTCATGGACCCCAGACTGATAGCTGGGAAACCAGCATAGGACTGATCCAGACCCCCTGAAAGTGGGTGTCAGTGAGGAGGCCACAGCAATCTATGGGGCCTCTGGTAGTATTTGCCAGTATTTATCCCTAACATACGAATGGACTTTGGGAGTCCATTCTACATAGAGGAATGGATACTCTCTCAACCTAGACACATGGGGGAGGGCCTAGGCCCTGCTCCAAATGACTTTGAAGATCTCCCATGGAAGGCCTCACCCTCCCTGGGGAGCAGAAAGGGGATAGGATAGGAGGTTAGTGGGGGGTAGGGAAGGAAGGGAGGGAGAGGGAACTGGAATTGACATGTAAAAAAAAAAAAAGCTTGTTTTTAATTTAAATTAAAAAAGAAAAAAAGGCCCACATATGGCACTGGGGTCCTGCCCTAAGAAATATTTTTAGGTAATACCTTCACTCATTCAGTAAACTGCTACCAAGTCCTTACTTTATTATAGGAATTACTGTTAGACCCTGGGCAGAAATGAGTAACAGAGAAGGGCCATGAAGATGTCACATTCTCAGAAAGGCCCCTAATGACCTGGGTACCTTCCAGTAAGCAAGCATATTTACCTATGCAGATGCTATCCATCCAAGATGCTATCCAGTCATGCTTTCCAAGGGGTCTGAGTCAGACCTGGGTGAGCAGTTTGTTGTGGAACTGAGACACATCTACACGGAGACATCTGTTTAAATATTTGGGCCCTACAACTTACTTAGAGGAATTTAAGGCAAACAAGGATGTGAGCAACAAAATTTATAAATAAAATATAGTATGGTAAGATTTATCTGTAGGGTACTGAAGTAAACAAATCTAATTAAATATGTGGTTTAGAGCAGATTTTAAGTTATATTAAAAGAAATATTGAACAACTTTTTCTTCATGTCCAGCGACTGAACTTGGGCCCTCTGCATGCTGGTCAAGTGCTTTACCACAGAGCTACATCTCCATCCTGACTAAAATTTTAACCATGCAACAGACACCAATTACTTTATCTCAATGAAGGTAATTTCAGGGTTGTGTATAAAATAAAGTACCTGCTTAGAGTCAGGCAGCCATGAACAAGTGTTGCAGGTATCCTAGCTGAGGCAGCATTGGCAAGAAATAACAAAAACAACTAGCCTGCCCAAGACCACACAAACAGAAAACAGCAGAACTCACCTGACATTATCTCTACCATTCCAAGTTTCTCTCAGCCCATCCACCTGAAATGACTTCTTCCAAGTATAAAATAACTTATAAAGCAGGAGGAGAAAGTACATATTTTTCCCTATCATAAGGTCAAATTCATATGAAGTAGGTTAAGATGAAATTTTCTCAATGGATGGCTAGTCAGAACTTAATATGCAAGACAATTTTTGTTCTATTTCCAAACTGGCAATAAATAAAAATATTTCTGTGATATTTCTCAAGTCTGAAAATCCCCAAGGTTTTCACCTTTTCTGTCACAACCCTCTGTAAATGGCCAGACTTGTTTTTGCTGTGTGACACATGGTTGTCAGTCTATGTAATGCAGGACTCTGGTTACTATGTGTGAGTCATATTTGTGATGTTAGTTCTAAGGGGGAAAATCATCAAAAGGAAAAGAGCCACATTTTCAAGAAAACAGTATTCACTGGTTGTAGTTCACAGTATTTTCTTCTTTGATCAAGAACAGTCATACAACTGTTTCTAAAATAAAGACAGCCGACTTCCTTTAGTAAAGTTGGGTTTTCCTTCAGTTTCATCTTGAGGCAAAAACATCTGGTTTGAAGGCTGACTTTAGCAAAAGGACAATCTAGTCTAATTACATTAACCTGATACTTCACAAAAATTAAGTAAGGTATCCGTTATGGAATTGAAGCATAATTACAAAAGAAGATTCAGTATTAGGAGTAATCACATGCATCTCAAATATCTGAAGCTCTCAGATACTCTGGATGGTTATGAAGGACCACTCCACTCATAATCAGTAAGAAAGTTAGTCATGGGTCTTACACAGTGTTAAATATGGACAAAGATTAGCCATACGCAAAAGCACAAATCAATAATTAGAGCTGGGTGTAGCTCAGATGTTCTAGGTTCAGTCTCCAGCACCCTGTAAATCAGGCATGGAAGCATATACCTACACCTTAGCACCTTACATATAAAGGCAGGAGGATCAGGAGTTGAGGGCCATCCTTGGTTATATGGTGAATTTGAGTTCAACCCTGACTACCTACGACTGTCAAATAATATAAATCACAAATTCTGAAGATCAGAAAACATGCTGGGATGTATCTTTAGTAGCTACATGAATGAGAACAATTACCTAAAGCAAAACAATATCTACAAATATACACTGAGACAATGTTCTAAAATAAAGGAGCAAGAATGTGAATAGGCAATTCAAAGAGTCACTATGAATGGCCAATAAGCGCAGGTACTATTTAAACGAGACTCTGTCAAACTATGTAACTACAAACAAAAGAAAGAAAGTAAGACAGAAGAGTGGGTCTGGAGTCTATCTCAGTGGCACAGTGTTTGCCAGACACGCTCAGAACCGTGGGATTGAATCTCAGCAAACATACCCAAATACACAACAGTTAACCCAAAGACATCATCATTCCTATTCTCTCTCTCCCTCTCTCTCTTTGTCCCCTACACCCCTCCCCCTGCCTCTATCTCCCTTCTCTTGCTAACTTCCTGGAGCGCTAGGAATTAATACTGAAGCTAATACTGACATGTGAGCTCATCACTGTAGAGAACAAGGGATATACTTGGCGCTCCTTCCTTTTCTCCATACTCCTTCCTGTGAGTATAGGCACATTTTTTTCCACATCTCTCTAGGGAGCCTCTTGGTGACCTTATGTACCAACTGAGAATCCAGCAAGCACATCAAGAGGCTGGTGCCAAACTGCCATCAGCGCTCCTCTGATTTCTCCACTAATCGTCCCCTGTGCTATAAAAAGATGTGATGGGAGAATGAGGTCCCAGCCAGCTCTCCCATCAACTGGCTGGCCCCAGAGTCTCCACTGGGCCTTCCTGGGTTTCCGCACGCTCACCCCTTAGCAGGAGAAGTATGCAGGGATGGTCTTGAGGGACTAATTCTAGGTGCAGTTGGAAAAGAAATCTACAATGGGCCGGGGATACAGCTCAGTGGCAGTTCACTGGTGTAGCATGCGTAAGACCCTGGGCACAGGAATCAGCAAAGAGAGACTTGGGGACCCCCAGACTTCATCTATGAAGAGCTGCTGAATCTAGAGGCGATAAAAGTAAGTCTACGCGAATTAGTGTTTGGATTCCACCAAGATGGTGCCACTCACTCTGTAGTCTCTATTCACATCGCTGAGCTGCCAATAGTTATCAGGGAGGCCCATTCTCTTGTATTCTTCACCAAGATCAATCAGCAACCAGCCCTGTTCTCTTTCTTCCTTATCCAGCTTGGGATTGAAGGAGAAGCAGTATAACTCCTCGTATTTCACTGCAAGAAAGAGAGAGTAAAGCCAAATTAAGCTAAGTCAAAGCCAGAAACTGCCCCAAAAACATTCTGTCCCAGCTGGAGTTCACCATCCCAGCCTCCCACCCCTGGCAAGGGGACAAGGGCACCCTGCTGCTATGGACAGGGTCACACAAACCCCTCCCAGCAAAGACAAGAAGACCTTGGGGCATCTGGATGCAACTCTGCAAGTGCCTCCTTCCCTTCAGAAAGCAGGGCATTTCCTTGCCATTGGGCAGTGCTGTTTTCACTGCTTCAAAAGTGAATATATTTCCCAAAACACAAAAGATATGGAGCATGAAAACAAGAATGTAGGAAGTATACAGTCCATCAGATAGGCCACACTGCCATTACAAAAGTTCTTGCTGTCACATTAAAAAATAAAATGAAAATGAAATTAATTTAGTAACATTTTAATCCAATACAGCTAATGTAGTTACTTTAACATGTATATAGTTTTAACACACACACACACACACTCACACACACACACACACACTTTGTTTTGTTTGGGGAACTCCATGTGTAGTTTGTACCACTATAGCTCGGTTTGAGGACAGCAACGTAAGTGCTGGGTGGGCAGCTGTGGCCTGTGACTACCACATTGGAAGTCCAAGACTTAAGAATTCCTGATGGTGAGTCCTCGTCTTGTTCCAGAGTCTGTTCTAAGAAACTGATCAATCCTGCTGGCAGGCACTGCTGCTGACCCCCACAACACAGAAGAAAAAAGCGAAGCGAAGAAGCTGAGGAACAGCATCCTTGCAGGGACACACAGCTGGTAACGGGGGCGGCCAACAGTGAGACAAGCTAGCCACAGGCTAGGCGTCACTGTGCTCAGTGGTCCCCACGGCAGTTCGTCCCTCGTGTCCCTTCTCCAGCGTGGTAAACTGCCTGTCTCTCCAATGTGTGCCCGCATCCTCCCTTTCCTGGCGGCTTGCTGACAACACTCTGTGCAGACAATTTACTGCTCCTACTTGTGACTAAGGCCCTATAAAGGACATGGCCACTAGCAAGGGGCCAAGCAAAACTCAGCTGTAAGGTTATTTTGGCTGCTATTAAGATTAGTCACCCACATGAAAGAAGAAAGACAAGAGTCATATTTTGAAGGAAGATAAGGGCATGTTCAAGGAGTACATCATCTTCGTTAGACATGTTAAGAGGCACAAGTCTTTCTTGACATCACCGTTCTAAACTTCAAAGCAGAACACTGGCTGTGCACCGAGTAAGAAAAGCGCACAGGCACACTCACACAGACCAGACCGGTCAGGACAGACAGCTTCTACCACATGAGCTAATGAGGGTTAGCAGGGAAGGAATGAGACCCTGTTCCGGGAAGAGCTGCTTCAACACTGACCCATCTTTTCCGGTACCAAGGACCATTTTCATGACTCAGACTTCTGCTACCACAGCGCTAACTGCAAAAGCAATTTGTTGAAGACATCAAAAGGGCCTCTTGAGAAATCTTGAGCTCCCTGGGGGTAACCATGGAAGCTAAGCTTCCTTTTGTTAAATTTTTACAAATAGGTTTAAAGGTAGGAGGATAAAAACATCCCATGACTGACAGTTCTATGTGTAGGCTGATACTGAATAGTCAAAGTGCACAAAACCCAAGAACACCAGACAGGAAGATTCTAGAGTCGGAAGACGTCAGGTTAGGTTTACACTAAAATTACAGAATGTTTTCTTTTGGACATTTTTATAGAAAGGGATGATAAACAAATCCTCGGGCCCAATTTTAAGTAACATTCCATATGAGGGCAAGAAAGCCTCCATCTTATTTTGTTGTTGTTGGCCAAACCTGGACCTTGCTAATGTACTATGGGCAAGCCTCTTACTCAGAAGCCAGCCTACAGTGTACACTGAGGACTGTGCAATCTGAGAAAGAAGCACTCTAGCACAGATGAAAAGCTCACAGACTGGTTCCCCTTTCATAATCGGTCTGTTCCTCTTGCCCCCAATGTTTATCACAAAATATGGTAAAATTTTAACAATTACCACCAAGTAAGATTAAAAAATTTTTATACTCAAATGTTTAAGGGTATTGTTTGCAGATATTGTTGACAAATTCTGGGCATATATACATTTATGAGGTTCAATGTGATAGAGATCATTACTATTATTATCATCATCATCATTATTATTTATGTGTATACAGATGTATACGTGCCATAACAACTTTCAGGACTTGATTCTTTCCTTCCATAACAGGATCTGGGGATCAAACTCAGGTTGGTCATCAAGCTTGCATAGTGAGCAATTTTAACCACTGAGTCACCTTGCAAGTCCTGTTAAGATTTTTAAATACAATACAGAAGGATTAAATCAAGCTAATGAATCCAAATAATAACCAAGTTTGTGATGACAACATTTGGAATCTACTGAAATGTATGATACTCATTAATAGCTAGGTTTGTCATGCTGTGAAACAGATTAACAAACAAACAAAGCAACATCTGGCTTAGTCTTCCTAACTGGGGTTTCGGACTCCTAGATCACATACCTACTCCCTCCATTCCCTCTCGTGAATGTCCATCATTCTTTCCCCATTTCTGTGAGTCCACCTGCTTTAAACTCCAGATCTCAACTCCAAAGTGCTGTATATGTATGTCTTCCTTTGTCTGGCCCGTTATTTAGCACATGGTTCTCTATAGCTACTGTGTATTGCAGGGAGTAGAATGAGGAGTGTCTCCCATAGGCCCGCGTACTTAAATACATAGTCTTCTGTTGGTGCTAGCTGAAGAGGTTATGGAATCCATGGGAACATGGAGCTCTGCTGGAGGAAGCACATCCTTGGAGAGCTTTGACAGTCTTATAGCCACATCTACTTTGTTGTCCCTGGTTCTGGGTGTGGTTGAAGATGTGATCTCTCAGGTTCCAGCACCAGCTGTGCTCTGGACTCCAACCCTCTGCAACTGTAAACCCAAATAAACTCTTCTTTCTCTTAGTTGCCTTTGCTGATATTTTAATCAGGCAGTAGAAAAGCAGCGAAGTATATGTAAGACTGGGTATTTTTCTCTCTGTTCATCAGCTGAAGGGCACAGGTAGATAACTGGCCTGGTGTGATCCTGCTACAATGAACAAGGAAGGAGACATCTCTCCAATGTAACCATCTCAAATGTGTCAGGTGCATCAGGTGGTAGCTCTATGTTTAGTTTTTGAGAAGTGCCCACACTATTTTCGACAATGGCTACACTCATTTATAATCCTAGTACACAGGTGTTCTCTTTTCTTTATACCCTTTCTGATCTCAAAATGTCTTTATTTTCCTTTTCACATTAGTCACTCTCAATGTGGTTTTTGTGTTTACCTCCTAATGATTGGTGATGTCAAGGTTCTCATCCGTTACCCATTCAGATCTTTTTAGAAGTATCTAGGTTAGGTCTCTTGTAATTCTTACTTGGATTATGTGTTTTCTTCATACAGAGTTTAAGTTCCTTATATAGTTTGGGTATCAGTATGTCTTACGGTACATCCATGAACTAGACCTTTGGTTGTACAGAAGCTTTTCATCATATAGAAATCTTCAACTTTGAACAGAGAGAAAATTTGCCTGCTCAAGCAAGGCCATCTCCCTCAGCTGATTCACCCCTCTTAAAATAGACATGATAAACATTCCTCAGACTTTTCATATTTCCCAGTCTGCGCCGTCACATCCATCAAAACACCTTACGCTGCAGTTGACAGGCACTTGAGTGTGCGTGCATGCAGGGGTGAGGGGGTATACTAGTCTTAGGATGTTCTTATTAGGAGGGCACACTAGACCTCTTCCTATGAAAAGCAAAAGCAAAGCAAAATACAACGATGAAAAAAACAAAACAACAAACCAAGTTTCTGAACTACAGGAGTAACTTAAAGTGCTCCTTTAATTTTAAAGATTGCTTTATAAAATCACAGAAAGTTACAAAGAAACTGTATCACTACACCATTACATACTACCTACTGAGACAATATAATTAGCTTAACAATGGCAGCCTGAAATGTACTTCTACCCAGAAAAGCAAACCTGACAATTTCTAAGCTATTGCATGAATATTTCTGAAAGGCCTGATTGGTATTTCAGTCAAAAGCATAATGAAAATTGAGCATAGAGATATGCACTGTCACTATTCTAGACAATTGCTCACAGTGTCTCCTCACCCCGGGAAGCCTGTGAGCTTTCACTATTTTAGACAATTGCTCCCAGGGTCTCCTCAGCACTGGGAGCAAGAGTCACTCCACTCAAGCTCAGCCCCCTTCTCTCCCCATCATCTTCTCTCTAAGTCAGTCTAATTCCCTGCTTCCTGCAGGAAACACAACTTCATCAAATGCAAACTCTCAACCAGGAACCTGCCACTGGCTCCCTGCTCCTTCTCTCCCGTATAAAAGGGGTCACTTGGCTGGTGTGTGGACAGAGGTAGGTTAGGAGGGACACATTGGGGAAGAAGGAACATAGTCTGTTTTGCAGCCATTGGCAGAAACAGTTATGAGAAGATAATATTTAGAAAAAAGTATGAAGAGATCTTATCTCCAGGTAGAATAACTTGGAAAAACAGAGGACAATTTAACATTAAAAGTACTTTTAAAAAATTAAAGGAAAGAAAAAGGCCACCAGCTAACATCAGGTTTGGGGGGCTAGAAGTATCGAAAGCCTTAGACATTCCACCAAATTAAAATAAATAAGTCAAATAAATGTGATGGAAGGCCCATCAGAAAATAGTAAGAAGATAACACAGCCTGCTACTGGATTTTGCATGCATTTAAATAGAATAGTAAGGCTGCCTCACCTTCACTATGTATTGTAAACAAGTCAAAGTTTAAGTTGTACATTCGGGCTGTGGACGCTGATGTCATGGAAGAGGACTACACATGCAAATACTCATACACATAAAACACAACTAAAATAAAAAGCCATTAAAAGACAAGGTGGGACAGTTCCTGATGAACAAGCCTTGAAGATGCCCTCTGGCTTCCACACCCATGAAGGCACATGTGGGACCACACGGGACTCTACACACCTACACAGACAAAGGCAAACTGCCACTGAAAATTTGCTCAAGCATCAATAATCTAGACAGTATAAGAGATCCAAATTGAGCAAATAAGATAAACTCAGCCGTGAGATTTTTGAGAAACACAGCAAACAGAACTGTATGGATAGCTGAGTGGTACAGTAAGCACTTTACATGTGTAAGGCCCAAGGTCCAATTCCCACCACCAGAAGAGGGGGAAGATAGACAGACAGAAGAATTGGGAATTAAGATGAGCTTTTTTTAAAAAGGCTGTAATTTGGTAAAAAGTAAACATAGGAAATTGTTTGAGTATGGAAGGGTACGCAAACACTAAAGAAGGCAAGATAATTGATACAAAAATAAACAGCAGGAGGCAAATCAGAAGGGGGAGTAAAGAGAGCGCGCACATGGGAATGCAGAGCCCTCTGAGAAACAGTCTTCTTTTAGTCAGAGAATCTCATATCCTTATTAGTATGTCAGATCCACCCGGTGAGCGTATTTTCTCATTTGGGCCCAACCTTTAACTAAATTATCTTACACTGGTGTCTTTTATAATCAGTGACCTAGTGCTTACCTATCTTTGTTTATAGAAAATGAAAACCACTTAAGTCTCTCCCAATTTTTTCAGTAGTCCCAGAAACCCAAAGGACCTACAGAGCTTGAGAGTATCACCTTCATAAGTATTGAATTAAATCAACTCCCAAACATTTTTTTCTAAAAACACAAAAAGTCTTCGATAGCACTCTGCAATTAGCCACACCCACAAGAGATGAAGTATGTGATCCCTGTTGATGACCAAAGTAGTCACTCTCTCCCTTCCCCGTTCTCCCTTCCCTCCCCCATTCTCTCCCTCTCCTCCTTGCTGACATGAATCTAGGGGGAATAACGACACATTTTGTCAACTGTGTCCAGGTCTCTGATGAACCATGCCTGCCCCAGTAGCGAGTTGCTGCACTGTAGAGGAGCCCCTGTACCCATCTCATCTCCTTCCTGACACAAGGCCTGTCTCTGAGACGACAGCCAGCAACAGCCCTGCACGCGGCCCATGCTCCGGAACTGCCTGGGCTCTGTCCCATCTTCCCACGCTTATTAAAACACCATGCGTTATACAACCTGACATTTCAAAAGCCAGTGTTTCAAAACATTCTAAATCCGCTCAGGTGATACTTTTAATTCAATTAATTACTGTATTTTCTTTTATGGAAAAAGCAGCCAATCAGGTCTCTGGCTCTATTTAATATCTAGTGACCAAAATGTCACCTCTGGAGAAGAAGTGTACATTTTTGGAAGCAGAGGGGCCCTCGTGTAAGCCCTAGCACTTCCTGCTCCCATCATGTCCTTTCCCACCCTCTGAGCTGCTCTTCCAGCTCCTACTTAGCCCCTCCCAGTTCTCTAGCTCTTCCTAAATCCCATTAATCCGGTCAGAGCACATTTATTGCCCTGCACATCCATTAATCAGTGACACAGAAATTGCTGGCACACAGCTCCCCCTGCAATCTCTGCAGCATGCAGCCTAGCCTACATCTTCCCAGAACTGCTGTTCCAATTATAGAGCACCCTCCAGAAAGTTCAACTGATTTTCTGGCTTACTCTGCAGTTATTCTTATCACGCTTGGAGGTGGGGAAAAAGTCTCAACCAACTGCCTTGAAAGAAGAACAAAGCAAAGCCAAAATGACCAGATTGTGACAACCCCCAGGTATCGCTTCATTAAGTAACGTTGGCTTTAAGCTACCTGCAAATGATGGAAGTCAGAATCCGGCCCAATGCCTTGGGAAGGTCACAAACTTCTCATCCGGAACAAAAATGCATTTGGTAAAAGAACCATAAGTACGTATCCTATGTCCCCTATTGATGCCCTACACGTGACACTGAAGTTCTATCTAGATGGTTTCTTTTTACAAGAAACCTGGAAGCATATTTCCTTCAAGCAAGCTCGCACCAACCTTGCAGAGAGTCAAGAACACTTCTCTAGGGGTATAGAGTAAGCTCTCCATCTAAAGATCCAGCTACTACGAGCTAGAGGAAGACAGTTACACAGACTGTCCATTTTCCATCTCCAGACACTTTTCCCCCTGCAAGTATGGGAGTGTCCTATTTGGGAGAACGGAAAGAGCTCCATCAACAATCACTGATGTTAATGAAGTAGTTACTACCTCACAAAACTCTATCTGAAGAAAACCAGCCAACAGAGTAGCTCACACTGCAACTGCAGCCCTGCGGAACTGCAGGGAGAACTCGGAATTTTAGGCCAGTCAAGGCTACATAGTGAGACTCTGCCTCAAGGAATCAAAAGAAAAATACACAAGAAACTAGACCACATTAGGTGGGGAAGAATGCACTAGAGAATGTTTTAGAGAATAACAATGGTTCCCACTCGATACCGTATGTTCTGTCCTAGACTTCATACCAAGTGACTCAGTTACCAAAGTTGTATAACTTTTTTTTACAATGACTTCAGACTGAAAGCAAAATACATTATAATGCCCCATCTAGGAAAGGAGAACACAAAGCTCATCAAAAGAGGCCTACCTAGCAAATAACTCAGGGGACACTAAGGACAAGGCTAATGTACCAGGTGATCACTAGGGCAAGGATAACAAGCAAGTCCCAACACTGCTATTCCCAAGCATTATACAAATTCGTCTACGTGGCTTGTGGCTGTTTCTTCAGAAGTCACATATCAGATACCAAGTTCCTTTGCCTACCTGGCCGTGCAAGGCGTATCAGAGAGATGTACACGTCGTGGCAGTCTCTCTCCTGTGGTATGACAAGTTGCACAACCTGGAAGTTCTTACAGCGAATGAGCAGGGGGCAGCCAGTAGCTGTTGTTGCCTGCTTTTCAATGGTGGAGATCTGACTGTGAAGAATCTAGGACCAAATGAATATAGTAAGCCCGAGTAAGAAACAAAAATGACAAGGGCAAACGGGTCTCTAAGCCACACAGACAAAAAATACTCCGCAAAATCTGCCTCCATCAATACCTGCACTCTGCTTACAAGAACTGGGAGATTCCAAGTAAGAATCAGTTATAGAAATCTGGAGCTTTCGTTTTCCATTTCAAACTGTCTGGTGTCCACACTTACTATTTTGAAGAGAAATATTCAGCAATTAAATTTGCACAGCTCCAGGTAGGGAACATTTTGATAGGCAAATGCTGAAAGCATTTAATAGCTAAAATCAAGTAAGGTCATGGGAAGTGAGTAAAATAAACTTTTGCAATCAACAAAAGTTAGAGATGGCTCCACTGGGAAGTGCCACCATGCTCCTTAATTCCACACGGGATGCTTAAGTTCAGTGGCCACTTGTTCTCTAAGCTGCTGGTGGTCAGTCTGCAAAAGAAAACATTTCACTTTCTCATTGTTATTTTCAATGGACAGATCATAGTACAGTGTGCAATTCTAACATACACACACACACACAAAACGTGGAATGATACGGTGACACATTTGAAATTTACTCAAGATATTTTGAAATATATAATACATTATGATTTATTATAAACCCTAAAACACAACACAATCAACCTTAAAACCTCATCCTCCTATCTGAAAGTTTGTACCCTCTGATCAGCAACTCCTCATTCCTTTTTTTTCTTACCTCATCTACAGCCTCTGCAACCATCATTAAGAAAACAAACTGATAAGAAAATAAACCATTCTGGACTGTGATTCCCTGGCTTCTGAAGAGACCTATGTCTGTCCTTAAGGGCAGGTCTCCATCTCCATGACGTTCTTGTCTACTGTGTGGTACTGGCTACCTTCTGCTAACTGTAGCCCTGTCCATGGAGTATGGGAACAGAATCTACAAGTCAAGGTTTCAGCTGTAGATGACAAAGCCATGTTTGTGCTGCCCTATGACAGAGATGTCTAATGCCTTGATGATTAAGCACCAAAGTACCGGATGATGGGACTAATCTCTAGCTTTCCTTTTCTTTGTAAAATTACCAGAAACGTAAAGTCAGCATAATAAAACAACAGAACAGGTAATTTATAAGATCCTGCACAGGAGAGGGGCTCCTGAGGTCTCACCCTCATTAGAGGAACTACTGGCAACTGACAGCTGTTGAGAAAGGCAGTCACTCTCCTGTTGGGACATGGGCCAGTGGCTAACAATATAACCATGCGCATAGACAGTCCTAACTGAACTAAGGCATTATTAACAACCATAAAAAGAGGAAATGAAATTGAGAGGGAGACAGGATGGGAGCACTGGGGGGGGGGGGTGGAAAGAAGCATATGATCAATACACATTGTAAGAATGTATGAAACTTTCAAAAAATAGCAGTTTAAAAGCATCTGCAAATAATAATTACATCAAATCAAGCACTACATAATGCTACAATTGGCATGACTGAATCTCTTCTTCATGGCTATAAGATGAAACAATTACAGCTTCAGACCACTGCTAGGCCTGTCTTTGATGATGTCTAAATAATCAATGTTCCAAGCATGTAAGTACATCAGGTATGTACAGATATGACTGTTAATTCAGAGGGACATCCTTTTTTCTGATACACCCCAGAAATTGTCTCCAAAATGCCCAAGATAGTCTATGTTCCCTGTCCTGAAACCAACGAAAAACATGTAAGGCCAAAAATATGGCCGGCATACCCAGGTCTCTTTCCTCGTGTCCGGTGCATTTTCCACGAATATGACATGAGTAGCCGTCAAATATAAAGTGCCCAGCGCTGCTTTTTTACAAGACACTCGATCTACCAAGCGGACATTTTCAACCTAGAGAAGTTTGAGGAAAATCAAAAGATCCAATCACAAACATTCAGTAACCTTATATTTACAATAAAACTCACATCCGAGAATGTCTCCAACAATTAAATCAAAACATGCCCTTAACTCAGCAGCAGACTATGATAGTGTCTATCAGATAATACCAGTTATAAAAACATGACTTCAAATGTGCCACAAAAACATTTACAAGCTGTTTTCTTTCCTTGAGTGTTAAATAGGTATACTGTTTTTTTTACTTTATTGTAGTTACACAAAACTTAGAATTTAAGTCAGCACATATTTACATTATAGCTCTGTATTTACATGATGACTTATGAATATGAGTTATGTTCTATAGAAAGAAACAGTATGCTCTTCCACGTGCTTGTAAGGTTGTAGACATGGCGTATGGATGCTTGCTTTCACGTAAACTACTATAACAGGGAATACAAAGATACATTATGGGAGAAAAACATCAGAGAAAGGTGCATAGAGAAGCCCTAGAAATTGACATCTGTATTGATTTTCTGGAAAATCTTCCTAATGATTCCAATGAATGGAATTCTTCCCCAACTGTTGGGTGTGTAGAAATGCCTTTTTATCAAATATCTGTATGTTTTCATGCAGAGCAGGTTATTGCAATGGGATAGTCACGTGACAAGCCACAGAGATGACAAGACAACCTGTACCAGCTGTGTGGAAACTGAAACCCAATGACTTCTTGAGTGAAACAGCTCCTTTTTATTTTAAGGTTTGTTTCAACTATGTGTGGCTTTGTGCACGTGAGTGCAGGTACTGAGCAGGCAAGAAGGGGGCGCTGTGTATCCTGAAGCTGCAGCTGCAGGGAACTGGGAACCTCTGGCTGGGTCCTTGAGAAGGACCCTTAAGTGCCATCTCTTAGCTCCTTTTATCCACTGAATTAAGTCTCATACTGCAGGTTTTACCTCTTCATTAACCCAAGACTATTTTAAGTCACATATTTTTTCAGTTCCCATATGGTTACATAATTTTATTTACCAAACATTCTCTTTTGAACCAACTTTAGAACGGTATTATGAAACAGCTATGGAAGGAGAAAAAATAAAGAGATATATTATTTTTATAGCATTTCTTTGGGGGGAAATCATTTGGCTGTTTAAAGGTATATAGCCAAATTAGCTAGGGTTAGTACACTAATTAACAATATGTAAAAGTGAAATACAAATAATTTTTTCTGCCCTTAAGACTAGTGACACTGAGCTTTACTCTAATATACTAAATATAAGGCAATATTTTAAGGTAAAAGTTTTCAGTATGGAATATTCTCCCCACAGAAATGAAAGAGGCTACACCACTTAAAAGTATTTTTAGAAAGCCCAGTAGAATAACGTGAGGTACACAGATGTTGGCAGATGGGAAGACTTAATGGAATTATTCCCATGTCTTTTTGTTAACTTTGGATGCTGCTGCAGGAAAACTAAATTTCAAAGTTTGGCAATCGTTCTCACAGGTCCCAGAGCTGTCAAAAGCAATTTTGAAGCACTAGAAGAAAAAAATGGAAGAAAAAAAATGCGAGAAAAATACCAAAACGATCTGCCAGCATGTGCAACAATACAAGAAATGGGTAACCAACGTGGCAATTCTATCGTTGGACAAAGTGTGTGATGATAGAGCAATGTTTGGGCACCACTTCATAGAGCATGCTAAGGTAGCTGGAACAACCTTAAATGAAATAAATCCCCAAATTCTGGCACCATCCTGAAGACCTACTGGTTTAACGGCTACACTTCGCTGTTCAGCTATCTCAAGTCTATTTCATCTACACAGCAGTAAAGCTTCTCTCAGCCGAAGACGAGACTTGGAAAACTACTCATCTTCTGGACAAAGTCACTGCAACTTTTTTCCTGCTCCTGACACATAGGGGCTCATACTCTGGAAATGGCATTTAATATACACTAAGGTAATTACACTCGGCATTTTGGGTTGTGCATCTACCACAAGCTTGACATCTTTGAAATGAAATCCAGCCATATGATGAATGGGACTGCATATCACTATATTATTTATTTGGCATTGCCCTCTTCTTCCTTTGTGGGATGTAACATTGAGATGCTTCTTATGGCTGGTGTCTAAGCTTTGCTCAAATGCAGTAAAGTTACAGGCGTTGGCATCCTATGAAATGTTGAAGTCATAGACAGAAAAGGTAACCTTGGGGAGAGAAGACATCTGAGGAAATCCAGTGTTTAAAGTTCCTAGGGAGACGAGCTTCAAAAACTGACACACAGGACAGTCAGGTAGGACGCCACAAGTAACACATTGTACTGTCAGGGCAGAGAGAAGGTCTACACCAGCTGTTGCAAGGACGGGGAATAAGGCAGCACTGGGACCAGTAACTCGGTGGACACCAGGCCTTTAGCAAGAAGAGGCCTGGGACCACCATGACCGGAAGTCACACTGAGCCCCCCGAGGACAAGTGAGAGGATGGAAGCGAGGGTGTGACGGAATAGGAGCCTGGGGCAACTCTGACCATTCAGCCCCCCACCCCAGAGATGTACAAAGCCAAAGACGTTAAAGAGACCTACTGTTGTGTGAGGGGAATTCTGAATGCCTGTGAGAAAACGCCAAGAAAACAAGAGTCCTGTGACCTCAGTTTCTTCAGAAACACGGAACTCCTCTGGGAATGTGTTTTCATGCTCTCCCCAGGTGTAGCGGATAGGAGTGAGTTTACTTCAACTGCTGTTACTCATTTGCGTCTTTGGAAAAACACGTTTTTGCCACATGCGGCTTGTCCTCATGATTACTTTACTCAGGAGACTCTTCTTAACCCTCGGAGTACATACTGCCTGGTGCTCTGAATAAAGCTGGCTATCGAATGAGACTTTGGCCCACCTCATTTTTAGGCCCTGCTCTCCCAGGTCCACACTAGAGTAGAGTAGCAAGTGGTCTACTTGGTGTTGCCCACACAAGAGCACCTGTGCTCGGGACACTGCAGTAGCTGATTCCATTAGGTGTGTGAGTCAGCCACGGTCCTACACTTTAAAAGACTAGAAAAGGCCCCTTTGCTGAGGATCAGAGGAATCAGAGCAAGGACTTATTTATGCTACTTATGCAAAATTCTTCCCCAACCCTATCTTTTTTTTGTTGTTGTTGTTGTTTTGTTTTTACGAGACAGGGTTTCTCTGTATTGTTTTGGAGGCTGTCGGTCCAGCCTGGCCTCGAACTACAGAGATCCGCCTGCCTCTGCCTCCCAAGTGTTGGGATTAAAGGCGTGCCCCACCACCACCCGGCCCCCAACCCTATCTTAGCTTTTAAAAGTGGGCTACTTTTTCCCAACTGTGGAACAAGTACTAAAGTTTAAAGATCCTGTAATATAAAAGGAAAAGCCATGCCTAGAAGCATAATCCAAGTCCAAGCACTGTCCATCTTTTAGTACACTTTGGAAAATATCTATGCCTCATTGTAAGTGGTCTGTATTAGGTACAGAAGTGTTAGAAACAATTCTCAGTAAGACAGGTAGGAATCTAGCCTGTGTGCTTTGCCTTAGCCAAAATTGTCCAGACATACGAGACTCAATATTTTGGAGACTCAAAGTGTGATTAAGGGAAAGGCAGGTTCCATGTCTAGCTGTATCAGGGAGTAAAGATAAATAATAGATTCTGAAACAACTGAAAATAATATATGTCAAGGGTAGAAAGAAAACACAAGCCCCCATGGAAGCTGGTGGACATTCTCAGGATAGCTTTGGACTTCCAAAGGAAAAGAAAACAGAGGTATTCAAAATAACCCTTGACAGCCCAGCAGTGGTGGTACACACCTTTAATCCCAGCAGTCAAGAGGCAGAGGCAGAGGCAGATGGATCTCTTTCAAGGCTAGCCTGGTCTACAGGGCAAGTTCCAGAACAGCCAGGGCTACACAGAGAAACCTGTATCAAAAAACTAAATAAATAAAATAATAATCATAATCATAATAGCCCTAGAAACATCTCACACATCAGCCTCAATCCAAGGCAATACTAAAACCTTTGTAGGTGTGTTCTTATAATGTTCCATGTGAACCATGTGTTGTACTATCTATCACTCTGGACATCTGACCTCACTGAATCCCCACAATATATTCATGAGTCAAGTTCTTCATAATTCCCATTTCTAAATTCCATTTAGATCCTTGGCCAATGTCCTCAGATTGAGGGGACTAAATCTAAAACCTAAGTTGTCATTCATCATGCTGTGGACACCTACAAATGCTTCTAGTTGTTCTAGAACTGCTTATTTAAAAAACTCAAAATTACTTCAAGCAATTCTATATGAAAAATTTAAGTTTTGCAAACAGGGTGGTTTATTCAGATAAAATTACACTGCAAAGCTATATTCAGAAACACCATCAACGACATTCTTTGAAACAAATCAAAAGACAGAAGCTTGGAAATTGGAACAAGAGCTCCAACACTGGTAACAGACCGACTTTCAGGACTCTCAGAACTAATAAAAGAGCAAACAGTCAGCATGTCACTGCACTCAACGAGATGCCAATGTGCAGCACTGTGCTGGGTACCCGGAAAAGCAGCATGGTAGGACAGCCACTGCATGGCTCCTGGGATCTTACAGATTCGGGGGAAGGACTGCAATAGTTAAACATCCCTTTGTATTCCTACCCTCCTCTGCTGCGCCTGGGCTGAGGGGAATAAAGGGTTTTCTTGAGCTTTTCTAGGACAGGGCTGAAAGGCTTCAGTCAGACACGGGGCTCCACCTCCCACTGCCAGGTCTGCAAGCGGTCACCCTGGCTGCACAACAGCAACCCTCCTCTTTCCTTTTCCACCTCAAGTCAGGAGGTGGACCGTGTAAATCACCACACTGTCTGCTAAGCCCCACCGGAGGAGGACACTGCCTTCCATCCCGCAGGTCGGATACAAGACTGGTGAACTTTTTAGCCTGCAGATTCATCTGAGACTACGTGGGGAAGTACGGTTGCCCAGCAAGACAAGGGGTTCACAGGCAGAGTTACCATCCACTGAAAAGGATGGGTGAAGGACC